ACAAGACTTATGGGCAGATGAATCATATTTATAAAGAAATAAGTCAAAAAGAGAAATGTATAAATGAATATCATCATGGTTGGTAATTGTGTGCACCTAGCTTTATATTTGAGGTCACTTGAAACACCATGATGAGCAACCACATTATTTTGATTAGATTGATCAAAAACTTCTGTGGGTAGCACCATATATGATATCACCTAAGAGAAAGATCTTGCAAAATTTTATCTTTAACAAATGCAATTGTTCAAAAAGAAAATTTCTTGTTTTATTGAGGAAGTTTCAACATTTTCCCATACATGCACCATGTTTACACATGAAGTCAACATTGTGATAATGCACTTTCATGGGGTCAAACTTGCAAAAATACATAAATCATATCAGAGCTCTGTCTCCAATATTGAATATAATACAAAAATGAAATATATAGCAGAAAAAATGGTATAAGAAAATGCCAATAATGTGAAATAATGAAAAAAGCCCCCCCAAATAAAAAATAAATAAAAAGGGCATTCAATATATGAAAAAGTGAAAGAGATTGATTATGGGCAATTGTATAAAAGTAGTCCACAAGAGCTGGCCAACTTTCACGATTAGTAACTGTATTTTGAAGTATTTAATCATAACAAATAGCTGCCTTTTTTTTTTTCATTTAGGGCATGGTTCTTCTTACAGAATATGTCCACATTCATTATCTACATGGCACTCTTCTTTTTGAAATTCTTTTTTTTTATAATCAGTATTTTTTATTATGATATTGTGGGGTACAGTTAAGGGTTAGGTATACAAATATGCTTCGTTCAGGCACCCTTGTTGATAAGAGGTGTCTCCCCGTCCCCAGACAGATGTTTACTACCATTAATCCCATCTCCCTTCCCCCGGCCCCCCATAGTTTCCCAACACTAGCAGTCATTTTCTTATGGTAATATATTGGATGATCAAGGTCCACTATATGAGTGAGAACATGTCATACTCAGATCTTTGTTTCTGTAAGAGGTCACTCAGTATTATACACTCTAGTTCCATCCAGGTTGCTGCAAAATTCATGATTTTGTTCTTTTTTATGGCTGCGTAGTATTCCATCGTGTATATATACCACATTTTTTTAATCCAGTCCTCTTTTGATGGACAGCATGGTTGGTTTCCGGTGCTTGCTATTGTAAACAATGCTGCGATAAACATTCGTGTGCAGGTATCTTTTTGATAGAGTGATTTGAGTTCTTCAGGGTATATTCCCAGTAGGGGGATTGCAGGGTCATATGGGAGGTTGATATTTAGAGCTTTTAGGAATCGCCACACTGCTTTTCACAGAGGTTGCACTAGTTTACACTCCTACCAACAGTGTAGAAGTGTTCCCTTTTTGCCACAACCTCTTCAGCAGCTGTTATTTTTTGAGTTATTGATAATTGCCATTCTGACTAGAGTTAGGTGGTATCTCAGTGTGGTTTTGATTTGCATCTCCCTGATGATTAGTGAGGTTGAACATTTCTTCATGTGTCTGTTGGCTGCTCGGATGTCTTCCTTTGTGAAGTGTCTGTTCATATCTTTTGCCCATTTTATAATGGGGTTGTTTGTTTTCAGCACATTTGAGTTCCTTGTAATTGATTCAGTATACACTGACATGAGCATTCTCTATTAAAACTTCCCATCTTCTGTGCCATGCCTCTATATTGCTTTGAGTATGGAGAAATACATTCTGCATGCACTCATATACAAACTACAAATTTGGCAAAAACAATACTGGTTATCAAACAGCAAAACCATTGCACAAGTGTCTTCTTATTCTATTGCCTACATAGTTACTTTTGAACCAGTAACTTTGCTGACTTCTTCAGGCAAATGCCACTTTATTTCATTAAAATCCCATGACTTAGGAATTTCATAAGCTAGAAAGAATGCCAATGCAGGCAAATAATGCATTTGTAAACTGAAGTTTTCATCTTTCCCTTATTGTGTGGCCAATATACTCAATCTAAATTTTCCACCAAATAGAAATAAAGACAATTACAAAGTAATAGTTCTGTCTAACATGGTGCAACTAATATAGTGCAACTATCTTGTGTTCAGCTGCAAAAACACTAATGCTTTCCCCAGAATTTCGCTTCTGCAATTTCAGCATTTGAAATTTTAATCTTTTAGGATTGTGATTTTTGGGATTTAAGATATTAGTGATTTTAGACTTGCAGAATTTAGACGTCAAAAATTTTAATCTATTGGGATTTCAACATTCGGTATTATAGTTTCCAAGACTGCATCTCTCACGATAATTATCCAAACCCCTCCCAAAAGGGTATAAAAATAGCTAATACGCACATGAAAAGAGGCTCAACACCATTAATTATTAGAGAGATGCAAATCATAACTACAATGAGATGCCATTTCACACCCATTAGAATGGCTATTTTTAAAAAAAAGAAAGAAAAAAAATAAGTGTGAGAGGATGTGCAGGAACTGGAATCTTTGTGTACTGTTGGTATAGCCACCGTGGAAAATGGTATGGCAGTTCCTCAAAAATATAAGCATAGTCTTAACAAAGCAGAGTCTGAAGCAAAGTTTTTGCAAGTACATTAGGTGATCCTAGGGCTTAGGTGGAAGGAAATGGGAGGAGTAAATTAGTAAAGAATGAGAAAGCTTAAAAACTAACAAGAAAAACAAACAAAACAAGCAAATACCCCCCAAAAACAATGCAAGTGTGTCTTATCAAGGTGACTGCTTTGGGCAACCAAGGCTCCATTCTATCAGGATCCAAATTGTTAATCAGAAGAGTGGGAGATTGAAGCATTTATCTACCAGCTCCACCATTTGGTTGAAGGTTGCCTCTGGGGCCTTGACCCTAGACTTGTAGGCTGCACTTACTGGCAAACCAAGAGTACTACTGCAACTGGAAATGACGCACAGAAGAGGAGAGATTGAGTTTGTGAGAAGCTGTTCATAAAAGTATGGCTGAAATCAGTTGTGAATGAAGGAATATGACATGGGAACACAGAGGCATCTGATACTTGATTCATTTCACTAATTCATATATGTTATTTAATTTCAGAATCCATAATTTTGTGTCCTTGAAGTTTCAGAGCTTCAAGTGGTAGTGAAACCATAAATTCCTTAAGCCAGTTCTGAAAATAGCAGAATTGATATGACAAAGGCCAAGGTAGATAGGGATATGAATCTCAAGGGAAATGTTCTCAGATTCTTGAGGGGCAAGAGATCACTCACATTCACATGTTGATATTTGAACCCAAATGATACTAAATGTGCTGGTAGAATAATTTTCATTTTACAGGCAAAATTACTTGAGAGCTGTAGAGATACTCAGCAACTTATTAACAAATTGGGACTAGATTCCATTCTCTTGTTTCTTATCTCAGTTTCTTTTGTCAAGTTTCTACTTCCTTCTGGTGCTATTCATATTCAGAGTTTTCTTCCCTCCATGACCTAGATGGATCAAGAATGTCTTTATTTCCCTTTAAATGATTACTTGACCCAGCTTATTTTATTCATACGTTGTTTACTTCATTGGGCCTCAGGCTACTTATCTTCAAGAAGAGAGAATTTAGTATTTTTCAATTTCCATCAGCTCCAGTACTTTATGCTCATTTGCATGTGTTATGCATGCTTTGTATGTCCTGATAACAGGAATTTTGATGTTTATTTAAAACAACAAACTATAGACATGTAAATTGCTTGCTATAATTGGTACCTCTATTTCTAGAGGAAATAGTACATTTAGAAGTAAATTTCTAATTGCAAAATCTGGAAATACATATTGCCAGACTTTATAGAAAGATACCTTAGCAACTTTTGAAAATGAAAAATCATAGTTACTTTTAGATAAATTTAAATCTGATTAATTTTCTTATATCAATTTTATTTAGTTGACAAAATCAATACCAGCACTAATATAACAAAAGGTGAAAGAATATTTTATATACCTTTTTAACTTGGAAAAATAAAGCAAAAGCCAAAAGGAAATTGAGTGTATGTATATGTGCATGTGTGTGATATATACACACGCACATATATATATATATAATTATATAAGTATATATAAAAAGTACATAAAATATATTTATAAATTATATACACTTCTTATTTTTCTACTTGTGGTTCAAATATATATGTTTATCTCAATTCAAGAACCTGGGAAGCCTATACATAGATTTTGCCAAGTACATAGATACTGTGAAACTGATACTAAGTAGGTTACCTGGTTTACTTGAATAATCTCTGAAAAAAACGAGTTATAGAATAATAGTATGCCTTAGTCTCTCAATCTGTAACAATAGCGTAGTAATATTTTTCTTATTCTTCCTCTGTGAGGAGTGTTTTACTGAAAAAATAATTATCTCTGAAAAGGCTTAAGCGCATTAATAGAAAAATGTTATTAACATTCAAGGTAATGCTATTATATTGTTAGATAATGGAAAAAATTGGTCAATTCCTACCACCTACTATAGATTTGACATGCAAGAAAGTCTATATAATTTTATGAATAGAAGAGCAAGCATAACCTTGATTCTTAAAAATAACTTCTTAAAACTGTCACTCAGGAATACTTTGCTTCTAGTTGCTTAATTGAAAGACTATTGCTAAGGTAGGTTTTAAAATCTCTTTTGTTTAGCAAGCTATACTTATATGGATGTATTTTTATTAAATACCTAGAATACTATGCCTTGTCTTATTCTTACTTATTGAAAGGTCTAAAAAAATGGCCTAGTGTGACAAGTTCATGGACTTTTTGGAGAATTCCCTTCCCCAACTGAAAAAAAAATTACAAAAGAGTATAACACCAAATGGAAACTGTGATCAACTGTATTACAGAAATGCACACATGAGAATTTCAAAATATTTTAAGAACAATGCTATCATCCTGTCTACCACACAAAGTTATTGTATGTGTGAAAATACTTTACAAGCTATGAAACACTATATGTTTACAGTATTATTATTATTGTTATTATTATTACAGGCTTGATTCACTTTATTTTTCTTGTATAAAACCCCTACATTGTTACCACAGCTGTAGGCTGAGTCCTCTGCACAGAGACTCTTGTGTGGGTCTTGACAAGACGGTTGGTGAATTCCTGATGGGAAGACTTGATGAATACAGTCTTTTTCCAGAGGTCATGGGGTAAGTAGCTATAGGTCTTACAGATGGCATCAAAGGTGACCTTTGTGAAGTTGCCGAGGGTGGTAGTCAGTCCCTGGTCGAGGTGTAGCAGTTGTCAGTGCCAGCCATCATCAGTAGCTTCTTGAGCATAGGGGCCAAGATGATGTCAGTGCTCCTGGGGGCAGCAATAAGACACACCAGAACAGAACAGCAGCAGATGATCACCTTGAAAGAGACAGTGTGATGTTTGCCGATCTTATTCCCCTAGTAGCCTCTCTACAATGGGACAATGACAGCTTGGTCCAGATAATGGCCCCTTGGACTGCAGTGGCTACTTCCTTGGAGTACATAACATACAGAGTTATGTAGCCATTGTAGTCCTTGATGGCAACAAATGCCTTGAACTTGGTCCACTGGCCAGCATGTGTTTGCTTTTGCACCGGCATAATCTTCAAAACTTCATCCTTGAGAGATGCCCCAAGGAAGACATCAATGATCTCAGATTCCTTGATGAGCAGGGAGAAGAGGTAGAACTCCTCCAGCCACTTGATCTTCATGTCCTTGACCAGGTGGCCCAGCTTGGTGACAGGCATTCACTCCTTGTCTTCAGTCCTCCTGCTTCACTGGGGTCTTCCACCATTGGTACTTTCTAAGAGGTTTTTATTATTAACAAAGTAAAGCTATGGGCATCGATGTAAATAACTTCCAAACAAAGGTATTTTCTATTCTTTAAAGAGAATCTATTTAACCTAGACTATGAAGAAGAGAATTTAGTCAGTATGCAATATACAGAACAGACTTTTTGACCAAGCTAATGCAAAGAAAGCAAATTTGTTTTTTGTAGACTATCTACTTTGCAGTCAACTTCTATACATTCTAAGGTGTTCTGCTGTGGTTAAGATTTATAGAGTGAACATGATATCTTCAGGATTAGGGAATCAAGAAGAGAAAAATCACAGGAGAATATGAGGAGCCCAAAAGAAAACATTGAGGAAAGCCCAGCCTATTACAACCCATCAGATAAATCTTTAAGGTGTATGAGTCTACTATAATACAGGAGTCAGCAAAATGTGGTCTGTCTCCTGTTTTACAGGTATGATTTTGTTGGAACACAGCCCTACTCATTCATTTGTATATTATCTATGGCTGCTTTTGTGCTTCAAGGGCAGAGTTGAGTAGTTGCAACAGAAGCTGTATGACCCATAAAGCCTAAAATATTTACCACTTGGGTAATAGGTAACACCTCGTCAACAAGGGTACAAAGTGTGTTGAGCCCTGCTCTAAGAGGAAAATGTCTGAAAGGGTAAGGCTGGACACATAGGAGGCAATCCGCATCATTATTGAATGAGTAAATGCTTCAAGCTCCATTTAAAATTTTTTTCTAAGAACCACTTCCTTCCTGTGTGTGTGTGTGTGTGTGTGTGTGTGTGTGTGTGTGTGTGTGTGTGTGTGTGTGTGTGTGTATGACAGAGAAAGAGAGAGAGAGAGAGAGAGAAAATCCAAGATAGGTGATTGGTCTAGCAATGTTTCACAGGTCAATGCACTTTCCTGAAGAGAGATGCGATTATAGTAAACTCATGATTCCAGTTTGAGGTTTTGGTTGGAAAGCGAGCCTCTTAGCTATAGAACAAGATTCATGTACATATAGTAACATTTGCTCCAAGACTTGCTTTCACTGCTATATCTCATGGTATGGAAGTAATAGAAGAGTGAATATATACCTACTGAAGTTGAGTAGAGCACCCTGGTATTTGCTGAATGACTAAATTAATTTTAGTCTTTTTTATATGGGATATATCTGAGAGGTAAAAATGGTGAGCAGCTGTCCAATTGTTGAGATTTGATACACAGGAAATAAATGGATATGAAAGGGAACGTCATGAGTTTAGAGGACTAGTTTTCAGAATGGTAAGAAAGACAAGACAATAAGTTAATTACAATTCAGTTAAATTATCATTTTAGGCCCGTTGCAATAAGCCCAGTGCTCTGTCCCTCTGGTGTAAGATAGAAGTTGTACAGCTTTCCTCTTTCTCACAAAGACTGAAACATATTTCAATCAGTGTGTCATTTCAGGTTCACCTATTTAGAATCACAAGATAGCAGTGATTTGAAAGAAGGATTCTATTCTCAGAGGATCTTAATATTGTAAAGCGAGAAAGATTTATTTAGCTTAATAAGGGTTAGGCGCTCTACTGGGAGAAAGTTAATTTTCCTGTAAAAAGAGTTTTATTTTAAAAAATTTTTGTTAGTATTACTCCAACTTCCATTTTTCAATTTTTAAATAATTTCAAACTATCCACAAGTTGCAAAAGTAGTACAAATAACTCTTAACTATCATTCACCCAGGTTCACCAAATGTTAATAGTTTGCCATTATGCTTCCTCTCTCTGCATATATGTGTATATAACTTGATCATTGTCAACTAAGTGTAAGTGACAGAGATCATTCTTTATTTTCCCTAAACATTGCACAGATTATTCTGTGGTTATTATGAACAAAAATATTTTCTTATACAATCACAATATAATTATCAAAGTCCAGATATTTAACACTGAAACTGTAATATCACCCAAACTACATTATTATTGTTCAAATTACTCTAATTGTTCCAATGATGCCTTTTATAGCAACTATTATTTATTGTCCAGGATCCAATCCAGAATAAGATTTTGCTTTCACCAAAGAAACCATCAAAAGAGTGAGGGGACAGCCCACAGACTGGGAAAAAATATTTGCCTACTGTATGTCTGACAAAGGCCTAACATCTAGGATCTACAAGGAACTCAAACATGCACAAAAGAAAAAAGCAAACAGCCCCATTACAAAGTGGGCAAAAGATATGAATAGACAGTTCTCAAAAGGAGACATACGAGCAGCTTACAGATACATGAAAAAATGCTCAGCCTCACTAGTCATCAAAGAAATGTAAATTAAACTACATTGAGATACCACCTAACTCCAGTCAGGATGGCTATCATCAATAACTCAAAAAACAGCAGATGCTGGAGAGGATGCTGCAAAAAGGGAACACTTCTACACTGTTGGTGGGAGTGCAAACTAGTACAGCCTCTGTGGAAAACCATGAGGTGATTTCTAAAAGATCTAAATATCCACCTTCCATATGACCCCACAATCCTCCTACGGGGAATATACTCAGAAGAACTCAAATCACTCTATAAAAAAGATACTTGCACACGTATGTTTATTGCAACATTGCTCACAGTTGCAAGAAAATGGAACCAACCATGCAGCCCATCAAGAGAAGACTGGATAAAAAATTGTGGTACATATACACGATGGAATATTATACAGCCATAAAGAAGAACAAAATCATGAACTTCACAGCAACCTGGATGACTTAGAGTCTATAATACTGAGTGATCTTTCACAGAAATAAAGAACTGAGTAGCACATATTCTCACTCATAAGTGGATCTTGAGCAATTATCATAACACTATAAGAAAAGGATTGACAGTAGTGGGAAACTGCAGGGGGTGGGAGGACGGGGAGATGGGATTGTCAGTAGTGGGAATCTGCCTGGGGAAGGGGGGGACACATCTCATCAGCAAGGGTACCTGCATAATGAACATTTGTATACCTAACCCTGAATTGCACCCCACATCTTTAAAATAAAAACAAATTAAAAGGAAAAAAAAGGAAGATTTTGCTTTCAGTTGTCAATTTGTTAGAGTCCTCAATTTGAAAAGTTCCTGAGGGTTTCCTTATATTTCATGACATCAACATTTTGAAGAAGTAAGGCCAGTTATTTTGTGGAATATTCCTCAATTTTGGATTGTCTTAATTTTTTTCCTTATTAGATTTAGGTTATGGATTTTGGACAAGAATGCTACATATATGATGTTTTTATTAGCGCATCATGTCAGAAGACACAAGGTATTGACTTGTCTCATTACTGGTGATGTTAACTTTGATCACAGATACAAAGATTTCTGGCAGGTTTCTCACAGTATGGTTACTATTTTCCTTTTTGTAGTTAATAAGTAACTTGAGGGAGACAGTTTGAAGTCGTTTGAATATCCTGTTTTCTCTCAAGTTTTCACTCACTAGTTTTAGCATCCATTGATTATTATTACTTGTATTATTTGTAATTATAATTCTTGTAAAATGTTGACTTTTATTCTAACATTCTTCCAATATTTATTAATTGATATTCTATGTTAAAGAGGTACTGTACCTTTCTCTCTCTCTCTCTCTCTCTCTCTCTCTCTCTCTCTCTCTCTCTCTCTCTCTCATCATTATGGACCAATAAATTCTTATTTTATTTATATGGGTTATGACCCATTAGTGTTGTTGTCATCTTTGTTAATGTTTATTATTGTTAATATCAAAGTTTCTCAGATTTGACCATTGGAAATTCATTCAAGCTAGCTTCTGTTTCCTTTTGACCTTTCCTCATCATTCTTTATGAATTTCCTTACTTTGTGGCAATAATTTCCTTATTTGGTGTATTTTAGATTTCTAGGTGTGTAGTTTTTGTTTTTTCTTCAGTCCTAGAATAAGACATTTCTCCAAGGACTGTGTTAAATTTTTTTATTGTATTTTAACTATGTAGATTTATTTTTTCTAAAACTTCTTTTTCCTTCTTCTACCACTGTCCTGTTCTCGATAATACTTTATTACCTTTCTCTGTAGTCAAGATTGATATTTTTTCCATCTTCATATATAGGCTGACAGTCATTCTTTAACTATACTTGGCTCCACTACGTGAATGGGAGGGTGGAAGTTGGTTCTAGGAGTAGAGAGAGCAAAAGTCATTATCATGTATAATTTAATTAACAAAATATATTCGCTTCCCATGCCAGCTGTTTTGTAGGTTTTTTTTTTCCTTTCATGTTGAAGTCATTGCAGGGCTGATAAAATTGGATTTACCTTAGCAGTTATATAGAGAGCAGATAATGTAGAAAAAAGAACATGGAACTAGGATTCAGAAAATCTAATTTATAACATTGACTCTATTTAGATTTTTGTCAAGCTAGTTTGGTTCTCTAATCCTCAGTTTTCTCAGCTTTAAAGTTAAAATGGCTTATCTTTCCCAATGATCTCAGAGAAGTAACGCTCATAAGAAATTACTTTAATCTGTAGAATACTATCTTTTTGCCTTGTATTTATTTATTTATTTTTCCCTTTAAAAAATTAAGTATTTTGGCTGAACACAGTGCCTCACACTTGTAATCCCAGTACTTTAGGAGGCCAAGGTAAGTGGATTGCCTGAGCCCAGGAGCTGGAGACCAGTCTGGACAATACAGCAACACATCATCAAAAAAATAAATCAGCAAGGTGTGATGACACATGCCTGTAGTCCCAGCTACTTGAGATGCTAAGGTGGAAGGTTCAACTGAGCCTGGGGGTCAAGCCTGCCCTAAGCCGTAATCATTGTGATCATGCCATGGCACTCCAGCCTGCCTGACAGAGTGAGACCCCAGCTCAAAAAACAAAAACAAAATGAAACAAAAAAACTGTTTTGCATTGGAAAATTAATAAAAAGTTGTTATTATATAATATATTGTAACACGACAGATGAAATAAATAATATATTGGCAGGCAATGAAGTAAACTTGAAAGAAGATTGAGAATTTATAGTTCTCTCCAT